CCCACGGCTGCAGCCCTTCCCGAGCTGCTCCATCGTGAGACTCCCCTGCATGCTGCAATCCTCCCAGCACTGAATTACAGCAGCAGGGCTACCTTTTCCCACAAGACCCTGGCTGCCTTCGGGCACAGCACCTTGATTAACCAGGCAGAAACCACAGGCCATAAACCAATGTCTGCTCCACCGTAGATCTTCATGGGTGGCAGGGGGGGCCGCCCTGCCGTCTCACCACAGGATACAGGGGAGTCTCTGCTCTGGCACACCTCCCCCCTCCTTTCTTCCTCCGTTCCTACACTGACCTTGGTGTTCATGCAGCTGCAGCAACTCCTCTTCACAAGTCCCAATGCCCGTCACCACGTCCCTTCTTAAGTACATTATTGCAGAGGCACAGCCAATTGGCTCAGTTTCAGTGCAGAGGTGGAGCTGACTTGGAGCTGGGGGAGCTTCGAGAAGCTTCTCACAGGGGGTAGCCCCTATAGCCCCCTCCCCTGCCACCAAAAAAACCCCACCACTCACTCAACCCAGGACAGTTTCATTCCTGATTTTGGGACCAGAACTCTGAGGTAAAATGACAAGACCTTGGTGAAGGAAGAACTTTGAAACCTCAACTGTAGTATCTGTTTTATCAGGAAGTATGCATTCTGTAAGTGTCAAAGATACATAAATGACAACATGAACAAGAGAATACAAGCAGGCATATTGATGACTTTGGCATAGTTGCATTCTGTAAATTCTGGTATGTGATAGAGATTGCTAAATCCGTGTGGCAATTGATTGTGATGATCCTAATTTTCTCTTTAATCAATTAATGAAAGGTAGAAGCCTTTCTAAAAAAGACAACCAAGATGTAAAACTAAACGATTATCTTGTGTTTATTTGTGAAGCAAACATGAATGTGCTGCACTGTTGAATTCATTAAATGCGTATGAACAATAACAGCAAAGGCATATAAAACTGAGCATAAAGGTGTTCCTGTAGCTTGTTTGCTGAAAGTGATCAAGGCCTTGAACAAAATGCCAAGCATCCAAACAGGTATTGGACACTGAATAATTAACAGCTCTGAGTTTAGTGATTATTGGCCTGCTTTAGGGCAGTACTCTGTTAGTAGTTTATCCTGGATGTGTTTTTCTGGGCTTGAGTTTGCACATATTCCAACAGCTGAGGATGAAAAATGCAGAGCAACGCATGCCACCTACTGAGGAGGCAAATTAATTTGTTTCTGTCAGGGTAGACAGTCTTTGTGTGATCTGATGAGCTGCTTTCTGACCTCTGTCAAATGGAGCCAGTTCTTCTGGTGGGGCATTTATCTTACAGGGGATTTCAAGCACAATGAATGGAACTGAAGTGGAAAGAGGGAAAACGGAGGTGGGAGAATAGGTAAAATGTGGGTATGGACCACTGTTCTTGCAACAGAAAGTTTGTATTCCAAAGATGCTTTGTAGTGTGAGCTGATATGATTTTTGGAGGAAGCTTGTACATGTAGTTGTGTGCTGTATGAACTAGAAGATGGTGGTAATTAGCTGAGAGAGAGAGAAAGCTGAGAGGGCAGATAGTTTGAACACTGCATGGACACTGTTGTGGGGATGTGCCTATGTGGGAAGCAGTTTGGAGAGAGGAAGAAAAGACTGACTATGTGACTTGTACGGATCAGCTGCCGAGTGATGGACAGGTTCCTCATCATTTGACCTTGACATGTCACTGAACTGAAGAATCAGTAAATAAGCTCCTACTCTTTTTTACTGTGGCAACTGCTTGGGTGCAGAATTAGTTTTGACTTGACTACAGTAATTATGTAAACCTTTCAAGGAAGCTTTATGATATAAGCTTGCATTTGACAAAAATACATGATATGCAGAGTGGAACGCCATGCAAGCGTGACTGTCTCTTTATGTGTCCATTTGAATTATAGGAGAAGTTTTTTTTAGTATTAAACCTAGTTATGTGTAAGCAATTTCAAACCGTAATTTTGCTATAGTAACATGACTGTTAAGGGTGAACTGTGGGTACAAGTGGGAGCTTAATTTCAAAGGAGAACTTCAAAAGCTGTAATGTTCTGGATTTAAAGAATATTCACGTTGCTACTAAAGGACACTCAACCTTCCATTTATATCAAGGACTATGGGAGAGACAACAGTATCTTTGATACTTTTAGTAGAGATCATAAATTCTGAACTACTAAGGAAAACAAGTCAGTTGACAGCTTTTGTATTATGTTGTCTTTAAATTTGAATAGGTAACTGATGATCATGTGTTATACTAAAGTATCTGAAGGCATGTGAGCATGTGCATTATCTTCTATACTGCTTTTAGTTTTTGCTTAAAGAGGGGGATGAACATTGGAAGTCCTAGCTCCCTCTTGGTGCTGCCACGCAGCTCTTGGCTTCTCCCTCTCCTTTCTCCCTTTTGCTGGCTGTGAAGCTTTTAGTTTATATCTTGCAGATGCCAGCAGTTCTAATTAAAAAAAATGCAAGAGACTATGTGTCAAGTTAGTACTAATCTAAAGAGTTAATTCAGGCAATTTAAGTTTGCCGTTTATCTGCAAAGCTGGAAAATGTTTCTAACCTAATTCTGCTAGGATGTGAAATACTTTCCACATCACAACTATGTTCATCTAATCCTGCTACCAAAGTAGTCATTTGAGCAAATAACTGAAACGTTAGGTGCTTAGGCAAATGAGGGTAAGGCATTTGATCAACAAATCATTAGAGAGGAAAAGAAGCTTTTTATAAACTGAAGTTTTCTTGTTTGACAACACATAGTAATTGAGTGCTGTGGCTTTGTAACCTATTAGTGTTCAGCCCAGCATTACTTAGCTGAAACTTTATAATAAGAAAACTGCTTGGGTAAAGGCTATGTATCTACACTTGAATTTATGTAGTTAGAATTGTGTTGACTGCTGCCTTATTGGCTGCATCTTGTTCAGTAAACCTTTTATTTCAGGTATCACTGAAGCTGCTACCTGCATTTTCACTATTGTCCTGAGTGGTAGAAGTTCAAGTATAAATCATCAGTTGTTTTCTTTAGGTTCCAGCTCAGTAGGACAGTGTTTTTAAAGTCACTACTAGTGATGGTTTGAAGTTTAAAATGCCCCGTTGAAAAGCCAGAGTGCTTTGGGAAACTCGCTTTTTGAACCTTTAGTAGTTGTTTTGCAGATCCTTCACCACCAAAGTTTGTTTTCTAAAGAAGCAAAATGACTCTTACTAATGTTTTCTGACAGCTAGAAATGTCAGTATTCTTTTTAGGTGAAAGGTAGCTTTGTTTGAATTTGGAAATACTGAAAAAATGGAGTTTTGCATAGTGTGGCCTTAGTACAAGCGATAGCTGTTCTACCTTTTGGGAACAGATTGCATTAAACTGTTCTTGCTGTTTGACATTGTAGAAGGCATCTGTATGTGAATCCATTTGAAGGATGACATTAACCAAGTGTTGTGATAAGTGTCAAAACAGTGCCAGGGATGTTAATTATGAATATGAACAAATTTCCTGGATTGGGGGGAATTCATCCTTGTTTAAAAAAACCTTTAATTAAAAAGTAGCCTAATATAGCTTGTGTTGCAGTATTTAGGTCATGCTGCAACTTTGTAACGTATATGAACAGTTTGCCTTCTGGTTTTCTCTTTAAAGCAGGAGAGACAAGGATTCCTTATTAGCTCTTGCATCTTTTCCTACTTTAACTTGGGTAGATTTAATACTTGTAGATGTTAAATATTGAGGTGAAGAAAAAAGTTGGGACTTAAGAATGAATGAGTGCACAGAAGCTGGAAAACACAGTTCTCAGTTGAATGCAACTGACTTGTGCTTCGTATTGTAACTGTTGCATACACTGTGTGTTGAGTGTTATTCGAAGAAATTAACAGTAAAAATAGAAGTCTAGTTGGAAGGGACTGTTACTATGACGCATTCCTTTTGGTTGCTGAGATCAACTGACTATTCCACTAATAAATAAAACAAGGAAGAAACTATGCTAGCACTGAGTCATCATGTACTGCAAATCCTTCCTTATGCAGTGTACCTTTCCCACAAAGGGAAGAAAAGAGAATTCTGGATAGCTGCAATCTGCAAGTTGGATAACAGATGAAGTACGTGGCCTCTACTGCTAGCTCCCAAGCTGTGATACAGGCAGCACTTCAGAGTGGACTGCGTGTGTATTTTCCCAGTGGAGGTGGTGTTAGTACCTCCCATCTTGCCAGTGAGAAGGGACTTGGGCCGTCATGTAAGTAGTTGCTGGTCTTGAACCTGCCCTCTGACTAGGGACCAATGCCTTGGGACAGATTGGGGACTTTGCTTTTAGCAAGGTGTGATTTCAGTGAGAAAGTGATCATTTCCTTATATTTTTGCCCTTTAGGGGAGAAGCTGTGCTCCTTTCTAACACCTCGGAATATGTGTGTCTTCTCAGTGATGAACATACTCAACTGTCAAGGAAAGCTCATTAAGGTTTTGTGTGAGGAGGTGTAACTTCTGCATGCAGGAGCCCTCTGTGCATGCCATCCCGATGCCCAACTTGCCCTTCTCCTGGACTGCAGGCATAGTAGCCAGCATAGCTGGAGGGTTGGCTTTGTATGTGGCATGTGCAGTAGGGGATACCCAACTGTGGGAAAATATTTTTCTGTCTTTAATTGGCCTGGGCGTGTGACCTCATAAGAGAGCATGAAAGCTGCGTTTCAGTGTTCCTGGGGATTTGGAGGCTTTTTGGGAAATGAAGGATTGGACAGGTTTTAGAAATTCAACTCCAACAAATCACGATAGTGTTGTTTTTTTCTACTGAATGAATTGTTTCTTGTAATGTAATTTTATTATGGTTAAATATTTTTCAAATTCTGTATCTGTTCCTTATTATTGAGAATTTTAAAATGTAGATGTAGATTGCATACTTTGACTGCACAGTCAGATCTTCTTGGTTACAGATTCTTCTAAATATAGGTTGTATTTTTTGTTCCTGTCCTTTCCCCTACCACCACCTTTTTCCTGGCCTTAAGCATATGTCTTGTTCTTTTGCTTTACAGGCTCCAGATAAAAGGAAAGCATTAGAAGAGACCAAAGCCTACACAACTCAGTCTCTAGCCAGTGTTGCTTACCAGATCAATGCATTGGCCAACAATGTATTACAACTGCTGGACATCCAAGCATCCCAGCTACGGAGGATGGAGTCCTCCATCAACCATATCTCCCAGGTAATCTTTTTTTTTTTTCGGCAGAGGACTGACAACACTGGAGAAGGCATTATCTTGTCTCTTGTGTTATTGAACTGGATAGTTTATGTTGATTCCTTTGAATTCTCTGAGCAACATAATAGAAAATGGCAAGGCTTTTTTCTTTTAATATTTATGAAAGCCACTTTGTGATGGAGGTCATAACTTAAATAAAACTGTTCCTTTACAAAGAAGTGCTGGGATGATACTTGGTTTAAAACATGAGTTAATTATTAAGATTCCAAGATTTGAAGCTGCAGTTGAGGGAGGGGTAGAGAGAAGGATTCTGTTTCTGAAGGAAATCCATATAGAAGTACCATATGAGCAGTGGCATTTTATTTAATGTTGCAACATATGCAGTAATCTCATTTGTTTTCATACCCTTGCAGAATGTAATTTCATGAGCTGTGTGGAGAGGCAGAGGGGTTCACATGCTGCCACTACCTGCTGAAGCCAAATTCATTCTGAGCCAAGGCAGTTGGATGAGTGAGCTGGCCTGAGTTGTACTGTGACTGTAGCATTGCTAGAGTCGATGCAGGGAGGATGTGGAAATAGATGATGGGAGAGAACAGGCCTGTCCCCATCAGTGGCAGCCTGTGTTCCCTTGGCTGAAGCTTCACCCTAGCTGGCTGCTGCTGTGAGGGGAGTTGCTCTTGCTGCTTGGCTTGTACCTGATCTGGCACTGGTCTGATTGCATGGTAATTCAGCCAAAAAATAAGTCTTCTGTGTTTAACCTGGAAGTGGCTTATTGCATAATCAAGTGTGTGCCATACTAGTGCCAAGGAAGGGAGAGACAGGATCCACTCAGTTATTTCACCCTTCGGTTGCTGTTCTGAAGTGGGCTTGAGTGAGTTGAGAGCCCAGTGTCTACTCTGTCGTATTCTCGAATTGAAATTCAGTTGAAACTTTGCTGGGCTTTATGTCCTATACTTATCTGAGACATTTCAAAAACAAATCTGAGGTTTCAAACCAAAATGTTCTTCAGTGTAGCTGGTGAATTTTAAACCTTTGTTAGTTAATCAGTACCCTGTTAGTCATACGCCTTAGACCAAATACTTGAAAGAAAATGCTTCTCCTGGCCTCTGCTGTCTGTCTCCCCATAGGCCCTGCTAACTTCTGTTTACTGTTCTTCTAGAGTAATTGTGATTTCTAAAAATCTTTCTGTTAAATGACAGCACAGTGGTTCACTGAAAGCATGTCAGTAGGGAGAAGATTCCTGTGCATGTGGAAGAGCCCTCCTAGTAACAAACCTTTCAAAAAGGCTTGTCAAGTGAGTATGTGCTAAGAACTCTACAGTGTTAAAAGCTGTATCAAGTATTTACAAGTACCTGCCACTGGAACAGGAAAGTAGGAGGAGGTACAATTTCTTGTTCTGTTAAGTATCCAGAGATTTGATGCTAGGATTATGACTACCTCTGAAGAAATGACTTGATGAAGGACTGAACCTACAGGCTTTCCCAAGCACTGGATGCCCTCTTATACTGACCACATCTTTTCTTATGTGTTTCAGAGCTGCAGTGTGTGTGATTATTGTTAAATTCTCATTGGCCCACTGATATGACTAACCATGGAAAAAGCCAAAATATTTGATACTAGCACAAAAGGTGTTAACCCTCTGTACTGTTTGCTGCTTGAATTGAAGGCACTATGCTGAAAGCTATTGAGTCACCTGATACATGAACTGTTTGCTAAAGACTGTGAACAATCAGTGCTTTGTAGAGCTTTTGAGAAGTGTTTAGCAAGGTCACTTGCTTGTAGTTTCTGTCCTGGTTGGTCTTTCCTGAAACTAATCCTTGCTTATAAATGAACCTCTGCAGACTAGTTTTGTAGAATTAAACTGGATACATATAATACATACATACCAGCTCAGCTATTTGCTTTGAAATGTTTCTGCTCAAATGCTTCAACTGCGTATCTTAAATCTGCTGTGCAATTGCTTTGATAGACTGCTTCTAAATTCTCTGAGGTCTCTAGAGTGTCTTTCCTTGTGCTTGTATCAGTTGTGAATATTTTCATGCCACTAAAGCAGGGGTATGAACATATTCTCAAAATGGAATTCTTCCCCATGGGAAAAATATTGCCTAGAAACACAGATCTGAGGCATTGCCAGTCATTTACTCAATTCTGAGTTTTGCAACATAGAACAGGTATCTGTGAAGTAAAGTACAATTTGATACTTTTTCTGGCTAAAATACCTTTCTTCTTTCCATGGAAGAAAATCCTGTGGCTCCTCTAACCTGCAGGCAGTTTCTGTTCCCCTACTGTGTTCGGTTCTCTATGCATGTTTTCCAGAATGACTAAGCTAAATGGCTGGATAGCTAATCTTGATTAGTAGCCACTCAATATTTTTAGCTATGTACCTTCTTCACTGGGAAAAGCACTTGTGAAAAGTTAGGTGATGGAGTGGTGTGGTGTGTTCTTGTTACTGGGGCTTAATTTTACAGAAGGAAAGTTTGCTTGCTTTTATAGGAAAAAATTAATTGTTGCTTTCTTGTTGAGAGCAGAGAGGCTTCACATGAGTAATCACACTGTGGTGAGGGAGCACTGCTCTGAGCACACCAAGTCAGTGAATGGCTCCAGGAATGGCTTTCACATAGCAGGCAGAGCAAAAGCCTGCCCAGCCGCGTCTATATTTTCTGCAGTCATAGTTGTCTTCCAGCTGTAATGTGTGGATCTGGAGTGACCTGCCACATAATTATTTACTACACCCAATATACACAGCTGTGTGCATACAGCTCAGCTCTTTGGCTTAAACCCTTGATACTGACTTTGAGCTTTGCCAAGATGACTTGATCTCTCCAAGCTGCTCTGATGTGGCAGAGCAGAGACTTGATTGCTGCTGTGGAGTAGTTTGCAAACCCTTCTGGTATAAAAGATCCTACTCATCCTGTTAGGCAAGACTTGGGAGGGGAAAGATAGCAAGTCTATACTTTGGACCAGTGTGAGTGTCAAGGCTTCACTAAAAGCATTAAGGTTAGCAAATGTGATGCCTATCTGCAAGAAGGGTTGGAAGGAGGATCTGGGGAACTACAGGCCTGTCAGTCTGACCTCTGTGCTGGGGAAGGTTATGGAGCAGATCATCTTGAGTGCTGTCATGTGGCACGTACAGGACAACCGGGAGATCAAGCCCAGTCAGCATGGGTTTATGAAAGGCAGGTCCTGCTTGCCTAACTTGATCTCCTTCTGTGACAAGATGACCCACTTAGTGAAGGAAAGGCTATGGAAGTTGTCTACCTAGACTTCAGTAAAGCCTCTGATGGTTTCCTGCAGCATTCTCCTGGAGGAATTAGCTACCCATGGTGTACTCTGCTGGGTAAAAAACTGGATGGACAGCCAGGCCCAAAGAGTAGTGGTGAACTGAGTTAAAGCTGGTTGGTGGCTGGCCACAAGTGGTGCTCCCCAAGGCTCAGTACTAGGGCCAGTTCTGTTTCATATCTTTATCAACAATCTGGACGAGGGAATCAAGTGCACCCTCAGTAAATTTGCAGATGACACTAAGTTGGGCAGAAGTGTTGATCTGCTTGAGGGAAGGAAGGGTCTACAGAGGGATCTGGACAGTCTGGATTGATGGGCTGAGGCCAAATGTATGAAGTCCAACAAGACCAAGTGCTGGATCCTGGACTTGGGTCATGCCAACCCTATGCAGTGCTACAGGCTTGGGGAAGAGTGGCTGGAAAGCTGCCCGGTGGAAAGGACCTGGAGGTGTTGGTCTACAGCAGGCTGAATATGAGCTGGCAGTGTGCCCAGGTGGCCAAGAAAGCCAGTGACATCCTGGCTTATATCAGAACTAGTGTGGCCAGCAGTACTAGGGAAGTGATTGTCCCCCTGTAGTTACCACTGGTGAGGCTGCACCTCGAACACTGTGTTCAGTTTTGAGCCCCTCACTACAAGAAAGACTCCAAGGTGCTGAAGTGTATCCAAAGGAGCAAACAAAGCTGGTGAAGTGTCTAGAGCACAAGTCCTGTGAGGAGCGGCTGAGGGAACTGGGGATGTTTAGTCTGGAGAATTGGAGGCTCATGGGAGACCTTATTGCTCTCTGCAACTACCTGAAAGGAGGTTGTAGTGAGGTGAGTGCTGGTCTCTTTCCCAAGTAACAAATGATAGGACAAGAGGAATGGTCTCAAGTTGTTCCAGGGGAGATTATTGGGAAAAATTTCTTCACCAGAAGGGTTGACAAGCATTGGAACAGGCTGCCCAGGGAAGTAGTTGAGTCACCATCCCTGGATGTATTTAAAAGACATGTAGATGTGGTGCTTAGGGACATGGTTTAGTCTGGACTTGGCAGTGTTAGGTTAATGGTTGGACTTGATCTTGGAGGTCTTTTCCAACTTTAACAATTCTATGATTCTATATATATATCTAGACTCCCTACTAAAAGCTTTCAATTGCAGTCACAATGCATATTTCTGTCAGTTCCTATTTGGTGCTCTAGTTTGTTCTTACTTGCCTTGAGAATGGCCATACTTAGAAGAGAAGCTCCAGGTGGGAGTTGAGCTAGTTTTGATCCAAGGTGTGAAAGCAGAGTCAGCCTGAGTGCTGCACTGTTATGGTGTGCCATCTCAACTTTCCCTGTGGGACACTGGTATAAAACCACTGGCTGTGGTTTCTAGCAATCACTGCTGACTTGTCCATCCATAAATACTAGGTAGTAGCAGAGCAGCAGTTCTGCTATGGTATAAATTATCTTCAGTTGCAGTAACAAAAAAATAACTTTTCCTTGAAGATTGAACAACAATAACCAGGTGTTTTGATTTTTTCATAGCATATATAGTGAAAGGTGTCTGGAATAGGTAGTATTTTCTTTTGCAGCAATTTTAGGGAAGATTAATGAATGCATGGACTGGGCAGTGAAAAGGGAAAGGAGAAAGCTGAGGGTGAGCCTGCAGTGGGAGACACCAGGAAGGACCTTGGACATTGAGGTGGGGAAGGAATGAAGACTTTAACATTCAGCATATGATGTTTCTTAAGGTGTACTGCAACTA